GCCCAGAGCCCAGGCAAGAGCCAAAGGCCCCCCCAAAGGGACCGAGGGAGATGCTCAGAGGCCAGCCAAGAGCCAAAGCCCCCCCGAAAGGGACCGAGGGACGATGCTCAGAGCCCAGCCCAGAGCCAAAAGGCCCCCCCAAAGGGACCGAGGAAGATGCTCAGAGCCCAGCCAGAGCCAAAGGCCCCCCCCCAAGGGACCGAGGGAGAATGCTCAGAGCCCAGCCAAGAGCCAAAGGCCCCCCCAAAGGGACCGAGGGAGATGCTCAGAGCACAGCCAGGAGCCAAAGCCCCCCGCAAGGGACCCGAGGGGAGATGCTCAGAGGCCCAGCCCAAGAGCCAAAGGCGCCCCCCCCAAAAGGGGACCGAGAGAGATGCTCAGAGCCCAGCCAGGAGCCCAAATGGCCCCCCCCCAAGGGACCGGGGGCAGGCCCAGCCAAGAGCAAAAGGCCCCCCCAAAGGACCGAGGGAGATGCTTCAGAGCCACAGCCAGGAGCCAAAGCCCCCCCGAAAGGGACCGAGGGGAGATGCTCCAGAGCCTCAGCCGAGAGCACAAAGGCCCCCCCCCCAAGGGACGCGAGAGAGACTGCTCAGAGCCCAGCCAAGAGCCAAAGCCCCCCCCAAAGGACCCGAGGCGAGATCGCTCAGAGCCCAGCCAAGAGCCCAAAGACCCGCCCCCGAAACCGGGACCGAGGGAGATGCTCAGAGCCCCAGCCAAGAGCCAAAGGCCCCCCCAAAAGGGACCGAGGGAGATGCTCAGAGCCCAGCAAGAGCCAAAGGCCCCCCCCCCCAAAGGGACCGAGGGAGATGCTCAGAGCCCAGCCAAGAGCCAAAGCCCCCCCCCCAAAGGGACCGAGGGAGATGCTCAGAGCCCAGCCAAGAGCCAAAGCCCCCCCCAAAGGGACCGAGGGAGATGCTCAGAGCCCCAGCCAAGAGCCAAAGGCCCCCCAAAAGGGACCGAGGGAGATGCTCAGAGCCCAGCCAAGAGCCAAAGGCCCCCCCAAAGGGACCGAGGGAGATGCTCAGAGCCCAGCCAAGAGCCAAAGCCCCCCCCAAAGGGACCGAGGGAGATGCTCAGAGCCCAGCCAAGAGCCAAAGGCCCCCCCAAAGGGACCGAGGGAGATGCTCAGAGCCCAGCCAAGAGCCAAAGGCCCCCCCCAAAGGGACCGAGGGAGATGCTCAGAGCCCAGCCAAGAGCCAAAGGCCCCCCCCAAAGGGACCGAGGGAGATGCTCAGAGCCCAGCCAAGACCAAAGGCCCCCCCCAAAGGACCGAGGGAAGATGCGCAGAGCCCAGCCAAGAGCCAAAGGCCCCCCCCAAAGGGACCAAGGGAGATGCTCAGAGCCAGCCAAGAGCCAAAGGCCCCCCCCCCAAAAGGGACCGAGGGAGATGCTCAGAGCCCAGCCAAGAGCCAAAGGCCCCCCCCAAAAGGACCGAGGGAGATGCTCAGAGCCCAGCCAAGAGCCAAAGGCCCCCCCAAAGGGACCGAGGGAGATGCTCAGAGCCCAGCCAAGAGCCAAAGGCCCCCCCAAAAAAAGGGACGAGGGAGATGCTCAGAGCCCAGCCAAGAGCCAAAGGACCCCCCAAGGGACCGAGGGAGATGCTCAGAGCCCAGCCAAGAGCCAAAGGCCCCCCCAAAAGGGACCGAGGGGAGATGCTCAGAGCCCAGCCAAGAGCCAAAGCCCCCCCAAGGGACCGAGGGAGATGCTCAGAGCCCAGCCAGGAGCCAAAGGCCCCCCCAAAAAGGGACCGAGGGAGATGCTCAGAGCCCAGCCAAGAGCCAAAGGCCCCCCCAAAGGGACCGAGGGAGATGCTCAGAGCCCAGCCAAGAGCCAAAGGCCCCCCCCAAAAAAGGGACCGAGGGAGATGCTCAGAGCCCAGCCAAGAGCCAAAGGACCCCCCCAAGGGACCGAGGGAGATGCTCAGAGCCCACCCAAGAGCCAAAGGCCCCCCAAAAGGATCCCTTGCCATAGGCGGAGCCAGGAGGAAGAATTATAAAGAATAAAGAGCTGAGGTTCAGAAAGGGGAGAGAGGGCTGAGCTGGAGGGACTGGCCTTGCAAGGGTTAAAGGGAACCGAGCTGCCTTCCTAGAGAGGCCAGGAAGTGGGGGGGAGGAAGGTCCTCCAGAGCCAAGGCCCCTCCCTCCCCAGTCCTTCCCTGCTTGGGTGTCTCTCCTGCAAGGGCTGCATCGCTGCCCCCTCCTGGGATCTGGTGAGTCTCCTCTCTCTCTGGGATCTGGTGGGGGTCCCAGGGCTGCAGCAGGGGAGGAGACCTGGGGGGCCTGATCTGTTCCTGCAGGGGGGACCCCAAGTCAGGGAGGAGAGGGTCAGGGGTGCAAAGACCCCCCCCGTATGCTCCTGCTACCCAGAGGAGGAAGGAGCCCCGGGGCTGAGAGCCAGAGCTTTTTGCCAGACTCCCCAGGAGGAAGGTCAGGGAAGGAGAGAGCGGGGGGGGGACCCCAAGTCAGGGAGGAGAGGGTCCTGCCAGGGAGGGGCCATGTCTGCCACGCTCTCCTTCCTGCAGATCAGAGGATCCCAATCTCATTTGGCCTTCCGCCCCCCCTTCAGAAAAAACAATGACTCCCCCAAAATCTCCTTCTTTAAAAAAAGGAGTCCCTGGGACTTTAACTCTCTGTGACGTCTCTCAGCATCACTGCACAACAGAGGGAACAGGTGCAAGTGGTTTTCCAAAGCTGGGCGAGGAGGTGGACTAGCCCCCCCCCCCAAAGGTGGGAGAGATAGACCAGGAATAAGGAGAGGGATCCCAGCCCAGAGTCTGGCTGCTGCATTGGGGACCAGTTTCCCAGTGTCTCCCAGGGCAGCTCCCCACGGAGGCCACTGCAGCAATCCCCTCGCACCCAGAGCAGGGCATCCCAGGACCACATCCTCTCTCTCCCAAAGGGATTGTTGCTGGCAAAGTAGCCGGAAATGGGCGCTGCTACTCCCTGAGCCTCCAGGGACCTTGGCATCAATGGCTGTGTGTGTGTTAAGATATCTAATAGAATAATCATAATAAATTAGCTGCCTAAATTTCAAGGGAGATGTCTTTGGCCCCGTCCACTTGGCCCTCACGGGGTTGACTAGATACATACCTGGCCCTCAGAACAAAGAAAAAGGGACCCCACCTCAGGGGTCAGTCTTGAGAGCGGCAGAGAGACCAAGTGCAAGAAAAGGGGGAGAACAACTCCTGAGGACCTCCACTAGAGCCAGGCATCCATTTCCCACAAGATACAAATGACTCCCTTGTCAGTCAGTTCTGACTTCTTGCATTTACTCGAAGGCAGGAGCAACTAGACTGATTCACCTCAGAGAAATCCCTTCAGTTGCCTCCCCATTTTGCATGGCAATCTTCCTTCTAGGAGGGCTAGAGTTTGATTCCTCCTCCTCCTCTTCTCCTTCTTCTTCTTCCTCTTCTCTCCACTTCCTCCTACTCCGTCTTCTTCTTCAGAAGATATCTCATGGTTTGGTACAGTCCCGTCCTGGTCCCTAGGAAGACTCATCCATACTTGCTCAAGGAACATGCAGATGACACCAAACTGGGAGGGGTGGCTAACACCCCAGAGGACAGGATCACACTTCAAAATGACCTTGACAGAATAGAGAACTAGGCCAAAACAAACAAGATGAATTTTAACAGGGAGAAATGTAAAGTATTGCACTTGGGCAAAAAAAATGAGAGGCACAAATACAAGATGGGTGACACCTGGCTTAAGAGCAGTACATTTTGAAAAGGATCTAGGAGTCTCGGTTGACCACAAACTTGACATGAGCCAACAGTGTGACGCGGCAGCTAAAAAAGCCAATTCTATTCTGGGCTGCATCAATAGGAGTATAGCATCTAGATCAAGGGAAGTAATAGTGCCACTGTATTCTGCTCTGGTCAGACCTCACCTGGAGTACTGTGTCCAGTTCTGGGCACCACAGTTCAAGAGGGACACTGACAAACTGGAATGTGTCCAGAGGAGGGCAACCAAAATGGTCAAAGGCCTGGAAACGATGCCTTATGAGGAACGGGTAAACATTAGGAAGAACTTCCTGACAGTAAGAGCTGTTCAACAGTGAAATTTGCTGCCAAGGAATGTGGTGGAGTCTCCTTCTTTGGAGGTCTTTAAGCAGAGGCTTGACAACCATATGTCAGGAGTGCTCTGATGGTGTTTCCTGCTTAGCAGGGGGTTGGACTTGATGGCCCTTGTGGTCTCTTCCAACTCTATGATTCTATGATTTCTCTTCTTCTGACCTAAAACTTCTCTAACTAAACAATGTATTTGCTTTGTAGGATTTCCTAGCACCTCATTAGCACAGGCAGAACTTGGCAGAAGACCAAAGGGTTCCTTCCCATCTCTCAGAGGCTTCCTGAGAGCACAGATGGATGAGCAAGACTCAGCTGGCCCTGGAACAGGAAGAGGCCATGCCATCCAAACTGGGAGCAGTGGGGGATTATGGGAAAACTCTGGGCAGAAGATCCTGGGTGAGGAGGACACCCTCCGCTCAGAGGTGCAGAGCCAGCAGTTGAGGCAGTTCTGCTGCCAGGAGGCCAAAGGACCCCGAGAGGTTTGCAGCCGACTCTACCACCTTTGCCACCAGTGGCTGAAGCCCGAAAGGCACACGAAAGCTGAGATCCTGGACCTGGTGATCTTGGAGCAGTTCCTGGCTGTCCTTCCACCAGAGATGGAGAGCTGGGTGAGGGAATGCGGAGCAGAGACCAGTTCGCAGGCGGTGGCCCTGGCCGAAGGTTTCCTCCTGAGTCAGGCAGACGAGAGAAAGCAGGTGAGAGAGACTTTGCTCTGGATACTCCCAAGGGGCTCCAAACAGGATGGAGAACATCCCATAATGCTCTACTTTTGGCCCATTCTTTTCCTGGGAAGGCATCTATAGAGATCTAACACCCTTAAAGCTTCTGTCTTTGTCATTCTCTTTCTAACATTTCTCGCCATTCATTCTCTGTTTTGAATCCTTGTTGCTCTTTCAGAAAAGGGATCGTTTTGCAGAAATGGACCTGGATTCCTGTGAGGCAGAGAGGCCTCCGTTGGACACCAGAGAGCGGCCACTGGGTAAGGAGGAAGGTGGCTTTTCTCCGTTTGGTCTCGTTCTGTTGGTTTTCCAACTAATCTGTGAGTTCTTTTTTTTGGGGGGGGGGACAGTTGGGAACAAGGGTCCAAAGGAAGGGAGAAGAAGTTTTGCACAACTAACATGAAATGGGCACAAACGTCCAACTGCACTCAGCAGGAAAGGCTTTCTGAAAGGCCCACCTGTCGTTAGAGATGCCCTGTTATACCTGTGAGAGAAGCAGGCACTCCTGGCATTCTGCTTACCTTTTTTCTCTTGCAGGTGACAGAATGATGCCGGCAAAACCCCTTGATCCGCCTTTTCATGGGGGCAGAAGGGAAGCAGCGGCTGTGGAACCAGATCAGGTCAGGGGAAGCTGCCTTGTGGGGTCAGAGGCCGAGGGATGGAGCAATGTCATGGACTGGGTGGGCACAGAGGAATGGTGGGAGGAAGCAGCCAGGGAACCAGGAAGAGAAGATGGCCCTGAGCCCAAGGAGTGGAGGTGGAGGAAGGATGGGTGGTCAGAGGGAGAAGCTTGGGAAGAGGAGGTGTCAGAAGCTGAAGGGGCAACAGGGCTTAGTGAGCTGGGAGACTCTGAGGCAGAATGCAGTCCAGAATCAGAGGCAGAAGAGGAAGGAGGTGAGTGGGAGGAGTAAAGGTCGAGAGGCAGAGGTGAGTCAGGAAAAGTAGGAGGAGCCACTGGGGGCTCCCTCTCCTTCTGCCATAAGCCCCCCTCCCTGCTTGTCTCTCAGAGCCAGGAGACATCTGACATTGGAGGAGCAAAGGCGGGCTGCACACTGGTGCACTGTTCAATCGTATGCTAGAAACCCCCCGGGGGGGGACTTAGAAAGTTGTGGGGAGCCGGGGTCTTCACTCTCTTCAAACTTTGCACTATATAATCTCACTTTTCATATACCTCCGCACTAAAGAAACTTCTACCTACGCAACTAGTCCATTAATTGATTTGACAGTGCAAACTGACAGCCCCTCTGGGAATGAGCTGCTCTTCTCATTAGGCCTGAAGCTCAGCCAAGTCTGTGAATATTGTGTTCTCGCTGATAAAGAGTTAATTCCAGCTGTGAACTGTGGGATTTCCTGCCCAGATAACTCTGTGACACCAGCCTTCTGCATGTCGCCTGTAGGATTCATCTGTAGTTGCAGTTTTCATGGATTCCTAGAGTTGAAAGGGACCCCAAGGGTCATCAAGTCCCACCCCCTGCATTGCAGGAGTCTCAGCTAGATCACTCAAGACAGATGGCCATCCAGACTAGGCTTCTTGTATTTCTATATTGATCACTGAGTGCTAAAATAGGCTTCTAAGCGGTGGATGGATGAGAACAAATAGAGGCCAGGATTCACCTAGCCAGCCCCATCTGCTGCGAAATATAGCCTGCCCCCACTCCTCCCCCTCTCCATGCCCCCTTGAACCCCTGGAATTTGGCTCTGGGGCACTGGGAAGGATCCTCTTCAGAACAGGACATGAGGAGAGGAGAAAGGGGATCCTTCCATCTGGGAAACTGGAATCCCTGCATAGGCAGAATAACTTGAAAACCACAAGGAAGAGAGCCACCTATTTGCACAAAGATGAATACCCATAGTTAAAATGCAGATCAAAAGAATTCAATTAAAGCATTAAAATAGCTACCCATAATTAAAATGTGCAGCAAAGCAATCCTACTGAAATAACGCAGCAGAATTAGATAAACTAACAGATAAACTAACTAACACAGCAGAATTAGATAAACTAATGTGCAGCAAAGCAATCCTAATGAAATATTGCAGCAGAATTAGATAAACTAACCAGCGAGACCAGAAATTCACGGAAGACTGGAGTAAATTGAAAAGTAATTGTGAAGAACAGACGACGTTTGTAGGGTTGCAAGAAGTTTTGTGCGGAGTATTATTAGAAGTATGGAAAAAATGGACAACGGGAGGATGATTTGTTAAGAGATGTAAAGGCAATATAAAATTAAGAAATGCATAAGAAGTGGTTAAAATGGTGGATCATCAGAGGTGCTGATGGAAGTCTGAAAAGATTGTATAAGTGATAAGTTTTGTGGTACATTTTATAATTTATTAGTTAAAATTAAATATATATATATAAAAAGAAATAATGCAGCAATTAACAGGAAGGAAACCACAGAGCATTGTGTAGCAGATCATATTTCTGCTGTCTCAGAGGAGGACATTTCCCTTTTTCTTTTAGGGTCCAGTGTGCTTTGAAGATGTCGCTGTTCGTTTCACGGACGAGGAGTTGGCGTTGCTGGATCCTGACCAGAGAGCTCTGCATAAGGACGTCATGGAGGAGAATCGGGGGATCGTGGCCTCTCTTGGTAAGGCTCCCTGTGGGATCGTCCTGTCTGCCTGGAAATTCAAAAAATAGCTCTATGTGACAAACCTCATATATTTTCTTTCTTTCTTTTTTATTGGCATTTTCCAAAAAAGAAAAAACATAAAGAAAAAAACATAACAAAGCACTGATACAAAATGATAAATAATAAATAAAGAATTAAATAAAACATTCTTTGCAGTCACACATGTTGTCATCATATCTACATTGCGCTAGATCACGCCTCGACTTCCCCCCTTCGCAGTTGCGGTTTTCTTAGTAATTCTCATCTCTTACAGTTTCATCAAGTTTTTTATAAATACATCACAAGAGTTAATCTAATCCTGCTGTAGTCCTTAAGCTTCTACAATTAATTTCGCTAATTCCGTATATTCAAATAATTTTACCTGCCATTCCATAACATTTGGGATTTCTGATGTCTTCCATTTTTGTGGAACTAAAATCCTGGCTGCCTCCATTGTATACTGAAATAACTTATGATCAACCTTTTTTATTTCCTCCCCTATTATCCCTAATAAAAATGCCTCCAGTTTTTTTGGAAAGGTATACCTAAAAACTTCCTTTAATTCATTATATATTAGATCCCAGAATCTTTTCATTTTCTCGCATGTCCACCACATATGATATAGGTCTCCATCTTTACTTTTACATTTCCAGCAAGCTTTGTCTCCCGTTTTATACATTTTTACCAATTTGACTGAGGTAATATACCACCTATACATCATTTTTTCTAGGTTTTCCCTTAAAATGGTACATGCTGCAAATTTCATTCCCTTATTCCATAAAGTTGTCCATTTCTCATAATCTATGTTATAACCCAGGTCAATCATCCACTTTACCATCACCTCCTTGATTTCCTCGTCTTTGGTATCCCATTCCAATAGAAGACTGTACATCTTCGATAAAAGCTTTGTTTTCTCTCCAAGATTTCTGTTTGATATTTAGTTTTTTCTCACTGAATCCTAATTTTTTATCTTCATTCCATAAAGCATTTACCTGGTGGTATTGTAACCACCCTGTTAATTTGTTTTTTAATTCCTCGTATGTTTTAATTTTCCATCCTCTTTCCGTTTTTACTAAAATTTCTTCATAAGTTATTTTTTCCCCTTCCATGTTCAGTTTTTTTGTTGTTAGTATGTCTATCGGTGAAAGCCACCAGGGTGTGTTTCTTTCTAATAATTTTTTATTTTTCTCCCAAACCTCATATAGAGCACCTCTAAAAATGTGATTCGAAAAGCCTCTATGAACTTTGGCCTTATTAAGCAACAAATAAGAATGCCAACCATATCTGTTCTTAAATCCTTCTAAATCCAATGTTTTCTAACGTAATCCATTCCTTGATCCAACATAGACAAGATGCTTCATAATATAATTTTAAATTTGGAACAGAGAATCCCCCTCTTTCCTTCCAATCTGTTAATAATTGAAATTTAATTCTTGGTCTTTTTCCTTGCCAGATGAATTTTGATAGTGTTTTTTGCCAATCCTTAAATTGTGTTGATCCCTTAATTACTGGAATTGTCTGAAAAAGAAATAGCATCTTCGGAAGAATGTTCATTTTTATTGTGGCCATTCTCCCAGACCAAGATAGCTTTATTCTATTCCATGTGTCCAAATCTCTTTTAATTTTTTTCCCATGTTGTAGTTATCACTGATTAAATTAATGTTTCTCATTGTTAATTGGATCCCTAGATATTTCACTTTTTTCACTACTTTAATTCCATATTTTTGTTCTAACTGCTCTGTCACATTCTTCTCCAGATTTTTGGTCATCATTTTTGTTTTTGTTTTATTTAATTTAAATCCTGATAATTTACCAAACTCCTCTAATTCTTGTAATGCTTTACTGACAGTAATTTGTGGTTCTTCTAGAGTAAGTACCAGGTCATCCACATACGCTTTCAATTTATATTCCTTCTTTCCAATTTTGATTTCACGAATTTCCGGTATTTTCCTCATCTTGTTTGCTATCACCTCTAGAACCATTATAAATAGCAGGGGGGATAGAGGGCATCCTTGTCTCATTCCTTTTGTAATTTCAAATGACTGTGTCAAATTGTTATTAATAATTAATTTAGCTGTTTGTTTAGAATATATAGCTCTTATACCCTTCATAAATGTTCCCTCTATCCCCATTGCTTCCATACTTTTTAATAAACACTGCCACGACACATTGTCGAACGCTTTTTCTGCATCAATGAAAATTAACACTGCTGGTATTTCATTTCTGATTTCCAGAGATTCTATGATGTTTACAATGTGCCTTATATTATCTTTAAGTTGTCTATTGGGCAGAAACCCAGCTTGATCTTTATGAATGAGGTCTTTCAAGCTTCTTTTCAATCTATCTGCTAATATGTTTGTAAAAATTTTATAGTCATTATTTAACAAAGAGATGGGGCTGTAATTTTTTATATTTAATCTGTCCGTGTCTGGTTTAGGGATCAGAGTTTTGTGCGCTTCCCTCCATGTGTTCGGTATATTCCCTCCTTGCATAATATTATTCATAACTTCACCTAATACAGGGATAAGTTGTTCGTCCAAGGCTATGTAATATTTTGTCGAAAGTCCATCTGGGCCTGGAGCTTTGCCTGTTTTCATCCTTTTTATTGCATTTTGGATCTCTTCTGTTGTTATTGGCTTATTCAGTTGTTCTTTTTCTTCCTCTGTTATTTTTTCCCCTTTGAAATTTTCTAAATATTTTTCTATTTTGCTTGTCTCCTCATTCTCCTTCTTATATAAGTCTTCATAAAATTTTTGGAAGATTTTCTTTATTTCCCTTGGATCTTCTATCTGACGATCTCCTAATTTTATTTTATTTATCACACTTTGTTTTTGTCTTTTTCTTAATTGCCATGCAAGGAGTTTTCCTGTTTTATTGGCTGATGCAAAATTTTTTTGTCTCATTAATTTAATTTTCCATTCCACCTCTTGGTTTACTAGTATCGAAAATTGGGTTTGTAACATTTGACTTGCTTGTTTGTTCTGATCATCTTTGGGTTTTATCGTTAATTTCTTTTCACACTCTTCTTTTTTCTTTTCTCTCAGCTTTCTTCTGTAATTATTTTGTTTTGAGGAAACCTCTCATGACTGCTTTGCTTGCATCCCAAACAACTTCCAAATTTGTTTCCTTGTTTAAGTTCCATCTAAAATATTCTTTCAGGCTTTCCTTGGCTTTTCCAATAACCTCTGAATTCTCAAAAAGATTTTCGTTCATCCTCCATCTATATGTACCTTGTACATTGCTTTTTACCTCTAAAATTATGGGATTATGATCAGATAAAGTTCGGGGTAGAATTTCACATTTCAATATTCTTGGGGTTAGTTGTCTTGAGGTCCATATTTGGTCTATCCTTCCCCAGCTTTGATGTGGCTCCGAGAAAAAAGTGAATTGTTTTGTAGTTGGATGTCTAAGTCTCCAGACATCTATCAGTTCCAGATTTTCCACCAAATTAAAAAAAGTCTTTGGTAGTTTACCCTGGTTGGCTTTCTTCTTTTTTATTGATCTGTCAATTTCTGGCATTACCACACCATTGTAATCTCCCATTAGGATAGTTTTTTGATCTTCTATTTCTAATAATCTTTCTTCTAACTTCCTGTAAAACTCTACTTTGTTTGTGTTTGGTGCATAAATTGCAAACACATTTATTTTCCCCCCTTGGTAATTAATTTGTACCCCCAGTACTCTCCCTTCTTCATCTTTGCAGATTAACTTAGGTTCCCATTTCTCTTTAACATATAACACTACCCCTCTCTTCTTAATCACATCTGAATTTATAAATTCTACCCCTAATCTTTTATTTTTTAAAATATGTTTGTGTTTTTTAGCAACATGTGTCTCTTGTAAACAAATTACGTCAAGGCTTTTTTTCTTCAAAACATTCTCTACGTTATTTCTCTTAGATTTCTTGTTTAGTCCACATTCACATTCCAAGTTATTAATTTCAAAGTCATTGTAATATATTCTAATCAACCGTAATTAGATTCAAATTCAGATTCTTGTGGTTTCCCCCTTTAGGTTCTCCTCTTCAAATTCTTTCCCCTCTTCTTCCTCTTCTATTTCCTCCTCTTCTTCTTTTTCCTCTTCTTCTCTTCCCTTCTCCTTCTCCTCCTTCTTTCTTCTTTCTTCTGGTTCAGATTCCTTTTCTCCAAATCTATATATTGGTCTATCTTCTTCTACCTTTCCTAACTCTTTCTCGTATCTCCTTATAAATTTCTTCACTTCTTGAATATCAGTCAATCTAAATCTTTTGTCTTTATAGTAGAAGAAAATCCCTTCTGGGAATTACCACCTATGTTGTGCACCATTTCTCTTCAGCACGCTCACCAGTTGTTTATAACCATCCCTCTTGCGTTAAAATCTAGTAGGAATTTCTTTAAAGATAATAATAGGCCTGCCATCTATTATCAGTTTTTTTGGTAACTCATTTTCAATATTGCGTTTCTCATATCTAATGAATTAAATATCATTAGACAATCTCCTGGTAGTTTTTTAGATTTAGCCTTTAAGGATCTTACTTTGAGTCTAAATGCATTCTCCACAGTATATTCAATTTCTTCTTCTTTCATATCCATCCATCTTGCCAATTCTCTAATCATTTTAATTTTTATATTTTCATTCATTTCATCCCCTACACCTCTAAATTTCAGATTCAATTGTCTCTGCCTCATTTCGAGCATGGCTAAACAGTCCCATACCTGCTCCTAAATTTTATTCAGGTCCCCTATCTCCTCCTTGATCTTTTCTGTCTCCCTTTTATTTTCTTTCACCTCTTTTTGAATCCCTTTAGTTGATTCTTCAATTGTTTTAGATCTAACTGTCAGATCCTTAATCTTGTTCTTGAGCTCCCCCACCACCCCCTCTATTTTATTGTCTAGCATTTCTTGTACTTCTCCCAATTTTTTCTCCATGTGTTGTTCATTTTGTTTAAATTCTTCTTTTATTTTCAGCCATAAAATATCCAAATCTTTGATCTCTTCTTGTCTGGAGATTTTCCTTTCTCCTGGAGCTCCCCCAATTTCCCCCCCCCATTTTTCCCTGACATTTTATACAGTTCCAATAAAAATTCAATATATTCCGATATAAATTCAATATATTCCGATATAAATTCAATATATTCCAAAATATATCTGCTTCTGTAATAACAGTTTTCTGCCACAAGGGTGTAGGTGTCCACCACAAAACTTTAAATACGTATCCCCCAGAGTAGCAAAATGTCAAATGGCAGAAAAAGAAGAATATAATATCCTGCAGATACTCACTAGACCTCTAGATGTCACACTCACCCTCCCTTCCTTCTGCAATGACTAATCACTTTTATCTATCTATTCCCAATTTACATTACTCAAATCATTAATTATCTCATGAATAGCACACCATACATTCAGTCAGATCAAATAATATGAAAATAAAGAATTGCTAAAGAAATTTAGTTATTAGTCCCAATTATAAATTTATCTGAAGGAGCTCCTCTTCTATTCTTCTCAGTCTTTCTGTAGTCTTCAGCCACTTGTGGACCTAATCCACCACGCTGAATGTGAGGGAGGACTTTATATATTTTTAAAGTTTCAGTGTTTTAATCTCTACCGCCTCAATCCAAAAAAGATAAACCTAAACCCAATATCTATTATCAAATTTCAAATTTCCTTTTCTTGGTCTCTTTTTGGCCTAATCCATTGGAGTGTGTTATATCGCCGTTTCGTGTCCAAATCGTGTCCAAATCAAATCCAAAAGAAAAAGGGGGGGGAGTACGTTTAAGCTCTTCTCTTTTCTTAGCCTCTTGTTGGCTTAATCCTCATGAGGATAAAAGAAAAGCAGAGAGGGAGTAAAAGGGAGTAAAAGTCAATAAGAGTCAGTACCCAGGGAGGAGAAAATACCATTAAAAGCAAGAGTAGTAGTCTGCCAGGGGAGAAAACAATAATCCACTTGGCAATATATATGAAGCATAAACGTGTGTGGCTTAATTTCCTCTATTTAAATTCCATTTGGTTCTAATCTTTTTTTCTTTTTTTTGTCCTCGTAAAATGTCTCTTTAAACTTCTTATACCACCTTCCTTCTCTCCCTCATATGTCTTCTCCCAAAATAAGGTTCAAAGTTTCTACTTATCTCTTCTTCAGCTCTTTGTTTTAAAGTAGCGTTTGCCTCAGCACATTGTTACGGAGGACTTTCACTTTTGTACTCACTCAGCAGGGACTGTTATTTCCTTTTTCTGCTCTTGCGACTTTCTATCACTGCGCCATTTTCTCTCCGCTGCTGGGATAGACTCCCTTCTTCATCCTACCACATCTGAATATTCTTCGGTAGAAAAATACGGTAATTGAACAATCATTATTGCATTACATTCTTGATTAAATTATCTTTCCATTGATATATAATTTTATGATATTACTCCAAAAGAAGTGGTTTTATGAGACATCAAACGTCTGAAATACACTTTTTTCCAAAAGGCTTCCACAATTTTGGCCACTACTGTATATCAAACAAAGCAACATTCAACAACCATCAGAATCCAATAATAAATATGTTGGTTAATGACAAACAACAAAGGTAATGAACACACACACCGTTCTTTTCAGTTCTTCTCCATTTCTTCCTAAGGCTCTAATCCCTTTTTGTCTCCATTGCAGATTGTGATGAATTGGAAATCGAGAACAAGGGTGACCACAACAAAATTCCCAGAGAGGAGAAGCCATGCAAAAATTTGGAGTGTGGAGCGAGCTGCAGTCAGAGCTCCCATTCCACTTCCCATCAACAAAATCTCATCGGAAAGAAACCCCATCAGTGCATGGAATGTGGAAAGAGCTTCACTAATAGCTCCTATCTCACTTCCCATCAGAGAATTCATACAGGGGAGAAACCCTATCAGTGTGTGGAATGTGGAAAGAGCTTCAGTCACAGCCACAGGCTCACTTCCCATCAAAGAATTCATACAGGGGAAAAACCCTATCAGTGTGTGGAATGTGGAAAGAGCTTCACTAATAGCTCCTCTCTCACTTCCCATCAAAGAATTCATACAGGAGAGAAACCCTATCAGTGTGTGGAATGTGGAAAGAGCTTCAGTCACAGCCACAGGCTCACTTCCCATCAAAGAATTCATACAGGGGAAAAACCCTATCAGTGTGTGGAATGTGGAAAGAGCTTCACTAATAGCTCCTCTCTCACTTCCCATCAGAAACTTCATACAGGGGAGAAACCCTATCAGTGCATGGAATGTGGAAAGAGCTTCAGTAAGAACTGCAATCTCACTTCCCATCAAAGAATTCATACAGGGGAAAAACCCTATCAGTGCATGGAATGTGGAAAGAGCTTCATTCAGAGGTCCTCTCTCACTTCCCATCAAAGAATTCATACAAGGCAGAAACCCTATCAGTGTGTGGAATGTGGAAAGAGCTTCTGTTGGGGCTCCAATCTCACTTCCCATCAGAGAATTCATACAAAGGTTGGGAAATCCTCCATTATATAGCTTTAGGAGCCAGGCAAATACCTACCTGTTTAGGGAAGTTTTTAATGTCTGATGTTTTAATGTATTTTTAATTGTTTGTTGGAAGCCGCCCATAGTGGCTAGGGAAACCCAGCCAGATCAGCAGGGTATAAATAATAAAGCAACATCTTTGCTTAGGTGTTTTACAACCTGCGCATTGTCTCTGTCATTTGCTGTGACAATAATCAATCATCAACAAAAACAAGAACATATGAAAATTGTCCATTTACTCGACTTGCTGTACAGACACTTGTCGGCAGGGCCTTGCTTGTGCCCAAGCGGCATCAGCATCTTGTGCAGTTTCTGATTCCAGGCCCTAGCAGCCTGCTTAAGTCCATAAAGTCCTCTCTGCAGCTTGCACACTAAATGTGCCTCATGTGGTTTAAGAAAACTTTTGGGCTGTCTCATGTAGGTTTCCTCTGAAATCTGTCCATGAAGAAAGGCAGTTGCAATGTCAATGTGCCTAACTTCTATTTGCTTGGAGGCTACAATGCTCAAAGCATTCTTAGGATTTCCGGTCTAGCTGCCATGGCAATCGGCTGTTTCCATTCCAGCGGAGCCTTTCCCGCGGCTAACGAGGATAATATGGGAGTAATTATCCTCCCTGAAACCCCCAGGGCAATCGGCTGTTTCCATTCCAGCGGAGCCTTTCCCGCGGCTAACGAGGATAATATGGGAGTAATTATCCTCCCCGAAAACCCCAGGGCCAGGGGGCCAGCTCCACCCGCAGATCATCCTATACCTGCCGCCCGTCCTGAAGGAATATGGAAGGCAGGGGTGCAGGGTGCTATGCACCGCACGTCTCGGCAACTCTCCAGAGCTGGTGCCATGAGCAGAATAAACCTGTTTTTAAAGATAATATTCAGACTTAACTAATAGGCATGCTCTGAACTAGTGGAGATAAAATAATTTGCTAATTAAATCAGCCACTGAGAAGGTTTTGATCTGGAGAAAGACTTTAGTCATAACTGAGGGAGGTGAGCCTCTACTATCTTTTTTGATATATTTTGCATCTGCTGTTTTATTTGGCAAATCTCCCTTTGAAAAACTGTTGGAAATATACTAGTAAATGCTAAGTTTAACTACAAAATTGACTGTGTGAAATTATAATTATGGCTCTAGCAACAACCTCAGATGGAATTGAAGGAATGGGTTTCCCAAACCCAAAACTGACTGTGCAGGCAGTTTGACACTGCACCAAAATCCCTATTTTTCCTTAGCTAAAATGCTTTAACTTGAGCTCTTGAGCCAAAAACCCAGCTGTATAAACAAGTGCTCAGAGCCCTCTCCTTTATCAGTTTGTGACAGCAAGGATGGCCTTGACTCTACCAGTAGAACAGGGAAGACACGTCTGTGCCTTATCTTATATCCTGACCACAAAGGCACACAGACCTAGTCTGGGAACAGTGCCAGAGGGTGTTCTTGGTGATGGTGACCTCTTGCTCCAAGATAAGAGTAGGAACAGTAAGATCCTTTCATGGTACAGGAAGGAATATCCTTTTATGGTCAGAAGTATAGGAAGGAATACCCTTTCATGGTTAAGAGTGCCGGAGCAGGAACATCTGTGATGTCAACCTGCGTGTACAAGCTGACGTGGCTGGATTCCTGGGGAAGGGGGAGAGGGTGTCTGGAGGATGTATATACTGCATGAAATTTCTCATTTCTTTGGACTTGCTGTGGACACACCACACAGGTGCCTTTCTGCTGTTCCGGAGAGCAGAAATAAAGAGCAGAAATGTTTCTCTGAAATAAAGAGAATAGAAATGCAGAAATAAAGAGCAGAAATGTTTCTCTGAACAAACCCTCAGTGTCATTTGACTTCCTTCCTCCTGTCCGGGAGCAACACAGACCCAATCGGTGAACTCCAATAAGGCTACAGAATGACAAAAAAAGAACCCCAGACGGGAATTATTGTGTTTATGCTGAGGCATCAGCTCATTGGTATTTGGAAAGAGAGTACAGAAGAGAATTCTGGATGTCAGCCTGGGCTAATGGTAGATTGGTTGTGGTGCAGTTTAAAATGCCCTGTGAGTGGAAAACGACAGTGTTTAAGATCTAGGACACATAAAGGACTGAGCCGCCTGTTAAATTAAAGGATGGATTAATCTACAGACCTAGGAGGAGGTAAGCCTTCATCATTTTCTTTTCATATATTTGTATCTGCAGTTCTACCTGGCAAACCTCTCTGGGAAAGTCTACTATTTGAAATATGGATTAGGGACGGAAGCCAGGACCTTCCTCGGAGCTCCGTCCCTTCACCACATAGGGGCAAAGTGTGTTCCTCTTGGGATCATGCAGAGCATGTTCTAAATCTGAATTTCCATTCAGCAGATTGTAGGAATGTAGAATCATAGAGTTGGAAGGGACCCTGGGGTCATCTAGTCCAACCCCCAGTGAGACAGGATAATCAGGAGATGCTGGACAAAGGTTCCCTTTGGCAGAACTGCAGGGGCTAAGCACCAGGGGGCAGAAGGACAAGATTCTGGCTCCTTCTGCTGCCTGCAATCCAAGGACCAGAGTGGGTGTCTCTGCCATTGCTGATTTCTCATTTCATGCAGCAGAAGAGCCACTAGAGTTGGGGGCAGAAGCAGTGGGGGGGGAGGTGGCTGGTCAGGCTGGATGGTCTCTCTGGCAGCGCCAGGAAGCCCACAAAGAAGACATTTCTCTCATTGCCTCTTGGAGGAAGAAGGAGAGGAAGGTGTCTGTCTCTGAAAGCCAAGCTGGCTGCATCACTTTCCCCTCCCTGATGGGAAGGAAATGAGGTTTCTCTCACTGGCCATGGGCCTCTGAGATGATATGGGCAGGGGGGAGTGGTTGGTCCTGATGCCTCCCCTGGGAGCTGGGGCGGGCAGGAGACGACCAGACCACCCAGCAGAGTTTCTGGGTTCAATGTTCCAGTGTCCCCTTCCACCGCCCTAGCCCCCCAGGGGCCTCCATGGTGCTTTAACTGTATGGACCTTTGTTGGCAAGGCGATGTCTCTGCTTTTTAAGATGCTGTCTAGGTTTGGCATTGCTTTTCTCCCAAGAAGCAGGTGTCCTTTAATTTCGTGACTGCTGTCACCATCTGCTGTGATCATGGGTGTTCTCTCTCTGCAGGTAAATTCAAACTGTAACTTTTCCTCCTTTTGTAGTCATGACCAGCTGTACCTAATCAGCTCAGAACTCACAGAAAAGGTTCTTAAAGTTACAATAATCTTTTCTGTTTCTTTGCAGAATGACTCCTAACATGGAATGAGGAGAGTCGGTTAAAGTATGGATTTTCTACGAATTTATAAAGCTAGGTACCTTACCTGAGCTGTCAAGTCAAAAGGATACATTTGGGCCTAATATTTGTAACATTGCAACAACTATAAAGATGTGCCTCACCCATGATTTCCATAACATTAACATTTTTTGCCTGGGGAATTCCAGGAGGTGGGGGAATCATTTGTCCTATTCCAATAATCTGCTTGCATAGGTTTTTTGGCCATTAAATCCTGCCGTCCAGTCAGCGCTTCCCCTGCGTAGTTCTGCTTGGGGCTGACCTGGGCAGGAAAACAGAGTCGCAGCAGTCCTGCCGTCCGTGTGAGATAGAGGGATAAATCAAGTCCAGAGACAGTTCGTTGCTATCTCTAAAAGTGTTTATTTACACAGCAATAAATCCATCAGAACTTTCCAGCATCTCTCCGTGCTAAAAGCACACACAGTCTCTCTGCTGCGTCTTTCAGTCAAAAGTGAAAGCAACTCTCACAGACAAAGACAGACAAAGCCTGTGACATATGGCCTTGCGTAAGGCCCCTCCCAGATACAGGACACCAAGGAGTTTTAACCCTGTAAACTCCAAACTCCACACCCCCTCTTGTCCTGCATCTGGGGAAAATAAGCAACAATGCTCACCCCAAACACAGACCTTCACAGAACTCCTCGTGCTTCTGGAAGGTTAACGGTTTTGTGAAACCATCAGCGAGGTTCTTGGTTGAGGGACAGTATTTTAGAGCAACTAGCCCCTCACGAACGCTCTGACACACATTTTGAAAACATATGTCCAAATGTTTGGTCTTGGCCTTGAATTGCGCCGTCTCGGCCAATTTGAGGCACGGCTGATTGTCTTCATGCACCACGACGGGAAGACAATGTTCTCCACAGAGTTCCTCGACCAAACACGCATAGAACTCCAGCTCTCTGCAAACCTCAGATAGCGCACTGAACTCAGCTTCAGTAGATGAAAGCGCTATGAGACTTTGCTTCCGGGACCTCCACCCAACTACTGAGTTCCCAAACTTCACCACTAGGCCTGACACTGATTTGCGGTCCTCAAGGTTAGCCCAATCTGAATCCACCCAGGCGGTCAGCTTGACACCACCCTCAGCTGACATCTTGAGGCAAAAGTCTTTGGTATCTTGCAGGTAACGTACCACCCGTTTAATACCATTCCAGGCCTGCACACTAGGACTTGAAGCCTCCCTACTGAGCAGATTGACAGCAAACGCTATGTCTGGTCTGCTCCACTGTGACAGATACAGCAGACTACCCAGAGCTGACTGAAAGAGATCAGTTTTTTCAAACACAACGCGTTCTACTTGCTGACATTCTTTCACGTATCCAACTTCCATGGGTGTTCTGCAACCTGCACACTCAGACATCCTGAACTTCTCAAGCAACTGCTCAATCTTACCTTTCTGGCTGAGCAAAAAGCTTCCATCTCTTGCTCTCGTTATCTCTACGCCTAGATACAACTTGACATCTCCAAACTGCTTGAGCTTGAACTGTTTTCCAAGCTCCTTAGCAAACTTTTCCACTTGTTTATCTGTCTGTGCCATGATCAAGATATCATCAACAAAAATCTGAGCAACTTGCTGCATCTCATAGATGGATTTGTGCAATCACCACACGATGCCTGGCACACTGACTTCAAACCCTGGAGGAGGAAGCATGTACAACTCCTCCTGGAGGTCTGAGTTCAGGTAGGCAACATCCACATCAAAATGGTTCACCTTCCAACCTCTCTGTGCAGCAACTGCTGAAAGCGTCCTCAAAGTCTCGGCCCTCGAGGTCGGCGAATAAACCTCCGTGAAGTGGACACCCTTCTTCTGTGTGAATCCTCGGGCCACTAACCTAGCTTTATACTGTGGTTCTCCAGCTTCTGTGGGTTTAAGGCGATAAACCCACCTGCAACTCACAGCCTGCTTGCCTGCCAGCAACTGTGTGAGTGAGAACACACCAAGAGACTCCATTGAGTTCATCTCCTTCTGCATCGCCTCACGCCATTTGCTGGCTTCTTCCTGAGGCAACTTCTGAACATCCTCAAAGGATTCAGGTTCACATCTAGCCACACCTACCCAGACGCTAGTGGCTTCATACCTTTCTGGTGGCTTTCCCTTGGTTGACCTTGCTGACCTTCTCAGCGTGAACTCTGGAACTGTGCCTGATTCACTTGGGCCAGCCACACCATCCCCTGTGTCAGAAACCTCCCCCTCTGACCTGCTGTGCCTTTTAGGCCTCACAGCTGGTTCTGCAGGCGAGGATGGCTCACTCCTTGACTCAGACTTGACAGAGACCTGTGGAGGGGTCTTGGGACTCCCTTTTGGAGAGGTTCGGAGCCTCTGCCTTGGGGATCCCGGTTCTGGACTCTGTGGCTGTGGACTGTGCACCTCAGCAACAGGTTCAGCTTTGTCCTCCTCCTCTTCTTCATCTGAGTCAAATAGAACATCCGGGTTCCCGTGAATACGTTTCCACCCACTCTGCTCGCAAAACTCAGCACTGCCGCTAATAAGCAGCTTAGACTGGTTGCCAGCAGGGTATGCGAAACGCCACGCCTCAATAAATCCATCAGAACTTTCCGGCATCTCTCCGTGCTAAAAGCACACACAGTCTCTCTGCTGCTTCTTTCAGACTAAAGTGAAACCAACTCTCACAGACAAAGCCTGTGACGTAAGGCCCTGCGTCAGGCCCCTCCCAGATACAGGACACCAATGAGTTTTAACCCTGTAAACTCCAAACTCCACAGGTTTAATGTTATTTGGAGACACTAACACCCATTAATTTCACGTTATCTAGGTGTTTATTCAGGTGAGGATGAATAAAACACTCTAGAAAGATCCTTCATGACTGTGTCTGCAATGTTTCCAATATGAGTTCACTTACCCATTAAAGTGTGTCATTAAATGCTGAGAAATCGTACCATACTCAGCTTATGGATCTCATCCCCAAGAAACCCTACACAGAGTAGCTGCTTTCCCCCAATTTCTTAGCTAGAAATAACTGATATTGAGAAGGAAGAGAGAGAGATCCTATCCCTCAAACTTTGGGGATTTAGTAGGCATCATTTGGGCGATGCTGCCCCGCTCCAGTTTGCCTCTGTCGGCCCCCGATGCCCCTTTCCTGTGGCCCCTGAATGGCTCTCTCTTCAACCGTCTGTCTTGGGGGACAATGGAGGACAGCTCAAGCGGTGGGGAGATTGCAAGGCCTGCTGGGGCAGCTGGCTGCTGTGACGGACAGCAGAGCCAGAGCAGAGTCTGGGGGTGCAGTGCCTGACCATTCCACCAGGGGGCCAGAGCCTCTTTCTGATTGGCTACCCAGAGGGGGGTGGCGCCAGCACTTTTGGAGGGAAAATAAAGAGAGCCGTTTCTGAGGGGATTTGAGATGGGAGAGAGGGATGATCGAGAGAAGATGGGGACGAGAAGAGGGTGGAGGGAGGGAGGAGAAGTGGCTCTGATCTGAGTGGATCCTCCGCTCTGAGGAGAATATCTATGGAGCCAGAGGAAGGAGCCTCACAGCTGAGATGGGGAGACCATGTTGAGGGTCTGGAGGGAGTATTCAGATGGGAGTGAAGCTGGAGGGAGAAGCTGTGGGAAGACTCTCCTCTTCTTCTGGGGTCTCCTTCCAGTCAGGAGGAGAGAGATCTTCTAGGAAAAGGAGATTCCCAAGTCCGTGGCAAGGGCTGAGAGGATCCCCTGGGTCTGGCATACAAAGGAAAATACCTCAGGAGTGGGATTGCTAAGAGAGAGGGGAAGCGAGGAAAAGTGGCCCCTCGCTGTGAAGGAAGCTGGGCTGTGTCCAAAGTACCTCACGGAAAGACCTCTCATAACTAAGGGAGGGGATGAGAGAGAAGCAGCAGAAACAGAATTCAGCCTTTCACCACCTATTCTGGGAACATGAACATCTACCTGAAGTGCAGCAACTGATTTTGAGAGGAGGGAGCTGAAGAGAAGCTGTGCCTGCAGAACTGTGTTTAATCCTGAGACATTTAGCTGAAGTAGTAAGTTAACCTCTACCTAAAAGAACACATCTCCTGTCTTCACTTTGTTTCACCATTCTCTTTTTTGTAAATATAACTTTCCTTGTCTGAATATCTCCTGCCTGAGGTTCCCTGGATTGCAGTTTCCCTCACACAAGACGCCCCACAAAGTAGCCTGTGGGAAATCGTAGACATTAGTTCAATCTTCATCATCATCATTTTATTTTATTTGTAACCTTTCCATCGTTAAAACAATGCTCAAGGCAGCTTACAGCATGATAGGCAGAGGGCCTTCTCGGTCGTGGCGCCTCTTCTGTGGAACGCCCTCCCATCGGATGTCAAAGAAATAAACAACTCTCTGACTTTTAGAAGACTCCTGAAGGCAGCCCTGTTTAGGGAAGTTTTTAATGATGGATGTTTTAATGTAGTTTTAATCATTTGTTGTAGGCTGCCCAGAGTGGCTGGAGAAACCCAGCCAGATGGGTGGGGCATAAATAATAAATTATTGTTGTTATTGTTATGACAAGATTTACATAATTACCAAAATAATCAAAGTCATAAACGATAAGTAAAACACATCCAAAGGTACACAACCAAATGGAAAAGAATTTCCACATAAATCATAAGATCTAAAATTCAGAATACAACATTAATATCAATAACAATTGAAAATGACACAGATAAAAACCCAAAACCATTTGAAGAAGGAGGCCTATCTGCCCAGCAGTATTATTATTATTATTATTATTATTATTATTATTATTATTATTATTATTACATACCCCGTGCATCTGGCTGGTTTTTCCCAAGCTACTCTGGGCGGCTTCCAACAAAATATTAAAATACAATAGTCCATCAAATATTAAAAGCTTCCCTAAGCATAACAACCATCCATTTTTAGTCCATTGAATCAGCAATTCAGCATTTCTGGAAGGGGAAATGTCATACTATTGAGTGTTTGCATAGCAACATGCTTAAGAAAGTTTTGGTTATTCATGATGAGAATAGGATTTATTTATTTTGAACTTCGCTTGGTTCTTCCTTGGCAGCCAGTGCGATTCTTTCAGCAGTGCTAGAACTCAGGACCCGCTGCCTTGAGGGACATCTATTATTTTTTTTATAAGATATTTATTTTAAAAAATTTAAGAAGCAAAACAGAAAACTCGTAACAAAAAAGAACATACAAAAAAGAATTACAAAAAATACAACAATAAATGACTAACACACATAACAACACAAAAAGAAAAATAATTAAAAAACAAACCAATTTTTCACATTTTTCAGAATTCTCATTAGCTTGTTTCTTTGACTTCCTCACACCTCCCTCTTTTGTATTCCCAATCACATCATTAATTCAGCAAATCCTTACCCCTCTTTTTTTTTTTAATTTAACTCAATATTTCAACAAATTTACATCTTTATAACCAATTATCAAACCATTTTTACATATTCTTACTGATCTTATTACTAAGTCCACTTAGGTCCAATCCAACATCACTTTAACATTCATTAATTTTAGATTGGAAGATATTTAAAGTTTATCTTAAAAATTGCTATAAAATTAATGAATGCTAAAATGTCAAGGGTAATGAAAAAAATAAGATTACAGCTGTAAATGATTGGGTAAGAGAAGAAGGAAAGAAAAAGAGTTTATAAGTTAATAGAAGTGAGGGGTTGCTGAAGAAAATTATTAAATAGGGATGCAGAAAAGGGAGGCATGGGGAAGTCGGTGAAATAGGGTTAATGAAAAAGAGGCCATGAAAATTATACGTGTTTATATGTTTGTTTGTTTGTTATTGTTATTGTTTGTTATTGTGTAGTGTATTGTCTTTAATTTATGTTGGAAAATTAATAAAAATTTATTTTTTTAAAAAAATAACATTCATTAATTTTACAGTATTTCTGCAAGTAGTCTTTGAATTTCTTCCAATCTTCTTCCACCAACTCTTCTCCCTGGTCACGGATACTGCCAGTCATTTCTGCCAACTCCATATAGTCCATCACTTTCATCTGCCATTCTTCCAGAGTGGGTAAATCTTGTGTCTTCCAATACTTTGCCAGGAGTACTCTTGCTGCTGTTGTAGCGTACATAAAGAAAGTTCTATCCATCTTTAACACCGATTGGCCGACTATGCCCAGGGGAAAGGCCTCTGGTTTCTTCAAGAAGGTATATTTAAATACCTTTTTTAATTCATTATATATCGTCTCCCAGAAAGCCTTAATCCTTGGGCACGTCCACCAAAGGTGAAAGAATGTACCTTCAGTTTCTTTACATTTCCAACATTTATTATCGGGCAAATGATAGATTTTTGCAAGCTTGACTGGGGTCATGTACCACCTGTATATCATTTTCATAATATTCTCTCTTAAGGCATTACATGCCGTGAACTTCATACCTGTGGTCCATAACTGTTCCCAGTCAGCAAGCATAAGATTGTGTCCAACATCTTGTGCCCATTTAATCATAGCAGATTTAACCGTTTCATCTTGGGTATTCCATTTCAACAGCAAGTTATACATTCTCGAAAGTATCTTTGTTTTTGGCTCTAACAATTCTGTTTCCAATTTCGATTTCTCCACCTGGAAGCCAGTTTTTTTATCCAAATTATAAGCTTCCCTTATTTGATAATAATGAAGCCAGTCTCACACTTTATCTTTTAATTTCTCAAAACTCTGCAATTTCAATTTATCTCCATCCTGTTCCAAAATTTCCCAATATTTCGGCCATTTGGCCTCCATATTGAGCTTTTTCTGAGCCTTTGCTTCCATTGGTGACTGCCTTGAGGGACATCTAAGAGCAGTTTGGCAGGGGAAAGGTCTCCCTTGGGAGGCGGTGAACTCTCCTTCCTTGGAGGTTTCTCAGCAGAGATCGGCCATCTGCCATGGATGCTTTAGCTGAGATTCCTGCCTTGCTGGGGGTTGGACTAGATGACCCTGGGATCCCCTCCTATCTCTCCACTCCTGAATTCTAGGAGGAGCTTCCTTGCCTCCTGCAAAGCCCTTTTCCCTGCAAGCTCGTCCTCTGGTTTCTGGACAATGGAAGGAGATGCTCAGAGTGTTATGTATTGAAGTACCACTGTATATAATTTTCACTCAGGTCCACGTCAGTTACTTGAGGCGGGAAACCCTGGGTTGTTGCTGCTACAATGTTGACAGATAATAAAAGCCGGCCGGCTGAGCTGTTTGCTGTCCAGTTCTGTTCCAGCTTATAAATAAAGAGCTGCTTTGGAGAAACCGCTGCATCGTCTACCCACTATTGAACACAGAGCCCAGCCAAGAGCCAAAATCCCCCCCAAAAGCACACCTTGCCATAGGCCGAGCCAGGGGGCAGCTGCCCCCTTAGAGCCATTAAAAAGAAAAGAAATGAATAGAAATCAGAGTTCTGCCCTGGCTAAGTGTGTGTGCAATGCGGGGGGGGGGGGGGCTGAGCTGGGAGGACTCGGCCTTGCAAGGGTTAAAGGGAACCGAGCTGCCTGCCTAGAGAGGACAGGAAGCGGGGGGGGGGAGGTCCTCCAGAGCCAAGGCCCCTCCCTCCCCAGTCCTTTCCTACTTTGGTGTCTCTCCTGCAAGGGCTGCCTCCCTCTCCCCTCCTGGGATCTGGTGAGTCTCCTCTCTCTCTGGGATCTGGTGAGTCTCCTCTCTCTCTGGGATCTGGTGGGGGTCCCAGGGCTGCAGCAGGGGAGGGGGCCTGGGGGGCCTGATCTGCTCCTGCGGGGGGGGGGACCCCAAGTCAGGGAGGAGAGGGTCCTGCCAGGGAGGGGCCAGGTCTGCCACGCTCTCCTTCCTGCAGATCAGAGGATCCCAAACTCATTTAGCCTTTCGCCCCCCCCCCCTTTCAGAAAAACAATGACTCCCCCTAAATCTCCTTCTTTAAACAAAGGAGTCCCTGGGACTTTATCTCTGTGTGACGTAGTTCAGCGTCACTGCACAACAGAGGAAACATCTGCAAATGGTTTTTGAAAGCTGGGCAAGGAGGTGGACTAGACACCCCCCCCAAAAAAAACCCACGAGGAGGAAGGAAGAAAAGGTGGGAGAGAAAGGCCAGGGATAAAGAGAGGGATCCCAGCCCAGAGTCTGGCTGCTGCATTGGGGACCAGTTTCCCAGTGTCTCCCAGGGCAGCTCCCCACGGAGGCCACTGCAGCAATCCCCTCGCACCCAGAGCAGGGCATCCCAGGACCACATCCTCTCTCTCCCAAAGGGATTGTGGCTGGCAAAGCAGCCGGAAATGGGCGCTGCTACTCCCTGAGCCTCCAGGGACCTGGGCATCAAGGGCTGTGCGTGTGTTAAGCTATCTAAGAGAATAATCATAATAAATTAGCTGCCTAAATTTCAAGGGAGATGTATTTGGCCCCACCCACTTGGCCCTCAGGGGGTTGCCCAGATACATACCTGGCCCTCAGAGCAATGAAAAAGGGACCCCACCCCAGGAGTCTGTCTTGAGAGCGGCAGAGAGTCCAAGTGCAAGAAAAGGAGACAGAAGCAGGGGAGAAATGTGCCCAGAAGTGGGGGTGGGGGGAGAGCAACTCCTGAGGACCCCCAAGTGAGGACCCCCACTAGAGCCAAGCATCCATTTTTCACAAGATGCAAATGACTCCTTTGTCAGTCAGTTCCAAATTCATGCGTTTACTTTAGGGAAGCTTTTATTGTTTGATGAATTACTGTATTTTAATATTTTGTTGGAAGCCGCCAAGAGCGGCTGGGGAAGCCCAGCCAGATGGGTGGAGTATAAATAAATTATTATTATTATTATTATTATTATTATTATTATTATTATTATTATTTACTGGAAGGCAGGAGCAAGCAGGTTGATTCCCATCACATAAATCCCTTCTGTTGCCTCCACAATTTGCATTGCAATCTTCCCTCTAGGAGGGCTAGAGTATGGTTACCAGATATTTTTCAATGAATCCGGGGACACTCCCCCCCCCAAGCTGAGTAGCAACAGGGAGTCAGTAGTGGGGATGGTGAGGCAAAAGACCCTGGCTCCCTCTCCTTCTGCAAGAAGCCCCCCTCCCTGCTTGTCTCTCAGAGCCAGGAGACGTCCAAAAATGGAGGAGCAAAGGCAGGCTGCACACTGGCGCACTGTTGGATCGCTTGCAAGAAGGGTCAGGGTTGGCCCTGTCCATAAGAAATCCAGTTGCAGCAGATGAATGCCCATTATTAAAACACAGAATAAAAGAATTCCATTAAAGCGTTGAAATAAGCATCCAGAATTAAAATATGCAGCAAAGCAATCCTATTGAAACAGTGCAGCAAGTAAGAGGAGGACATTTCCCTTTTTCTTTTAGGGTCCAGTTTGCTTTGAAGACGTTTCTGTTCGTTTCACGGACGAGGAGTGGGCGTTGCTGGATCCTGACCAGAGAGCTCTGCATAAGGACGTCATGGAGGAGAATCGTGGGATCATGGCCTCTCTTGGTAAGGCTCCCTGTGGGATCGTCCTATCTGCCTGGATATTCAAAAAATACCTCTGTGTAAGAACCTCATACATTTCCACAGAGCTCAGCAGCGCCCCCTACAAGACCTGGGAACCTAACACCCCCACAGTAAACCTTGAACAGCAAATTACCGTTTTTTCTTATATATATCATTTTAAAAATTATTCTCCATTTAATATTGTACATTTGTATCATCATTATCCTATACCACCCTGGCTCTTTAGAGCCTCGACTTCCTTCCCTTCAGCCTCATAGATTTCAAAATCAACCTTTATATCATTGCAATTTGTACATTTTCCAATTCTTATTACACTCATTACAGAATGGCTCAAAATTTAAATATAGAAAGGTAGAAAATTTCTCATTACAAGTCTTCAGACAACCCTGCTAGTGATGTTAATTGCTTACAATAATCTTTCAGATATTGGATAAATTTACTCCAACCCTTTTCGAATACTTAATTGTGCTGGTTTTGAATTTTTCCTGTCAGTGTCACCAGATCTGCAAAGTCCATCATTTTCATCTGCCAATCTTCTAACAGAAATTCTCACCATGTCAATTAATACTTAGTTTGTTTACCTTTAGCTTTAATTCTGGCCTTGCAACATCTTCCCATGGAGTGAAGCAAGTTTCTTAGTTCTGCAGCTGTGATAATGTGAAACCAAGATGGAATTATTGCAACTATTAATTGGGCTTTATTGCTGGGTTGCTTCTGACTAACAAGTTTCTTTAGTTGGCTCCATAGATTTCTGATTGGATTGAGGTCTGGGCTATTCCCAGGCCATTCCAGCAGTGGAACTGATTCTCTTGAAACCACCTTTTGCACACAGCAGCAACATGACATGGAGCTTGTTACGGCTAAATCTGGGTGTGGGGCTACACTGCCACCCAGCTCGTCGGACTAAGTGTCCGCGGGTCCCTGCGGAAGAAAATGAGCTCAGCCGGACAGGAGCAAACTGCAGAAGATCCAAGTTTATTGCGCAACAGGTTCAAGGCGAGATTGAACCGCGAGAAAGGGGTGGCATGAACTTTTGAAACTCCCTCCATGTCCCAGAATACAGTGCAAAATACATCCCAGTTACATCATGAATACATTAAGGAAAGGTTGGGTTACACAGATTACATCATGAATACATTAAGGAGAGGTTGGGTTACACTGGATTAACATATGGAGGAGGGAGGGGGGAATATGCAGAGAGCTGGAGATATGGAGGAGGGAGGGGGGAATATGCAGAGAGCTGGAGATATGGAGGAGGGAGGGGGGAATATGCAGAGCTGGAGATATGCGCAGATAAGCGCTTCCTGAGTGCCGGAAGACAATGGTCCATGTATGCATAGTCTGTCACCTGGCATTGCCCGGAGGAAAGGTTTGGCAGAGTGATTTTGACAGGATTAGGGTCTTGACACCTTACTTGAAGCATTATGGAGGACAGGGGAGGGGTGATGGAGTCCTAGAGAAATTGAGCAAATATATTGTAGTGAAGAAGACATGCCCCCCCCTTCCGTAACAGTCCCCCATTCGGAGATAGATTTGCATTAAAGTTCTGTAAGAACTTGCAAATCTTTTCTCCGCACCCTAAAGAACATCTGTTGAATTTTGTTCCTAAATTACTTGTGGCATTTTAGCTCTTGGGAGAAACATTTTCAATAGTGGTGTATGCTTTACATTTAGCAGGAAGGTCCACTACTGACTGAAAAAAATGCAGTTTGCCTTTTAGCCCCACCGTTTTTGTGTTTTCAGGTGCCAAGCTAGCTCTTCTGTGGTCTCACACCGGCATAGTGGTACAGTAACACATCCTGTTGAATCCCCTCAGGGCTTTCATTTAACCATGTCGCCTGGCACTCACCATAGCTGGCACAGGCTTGGGCATATCATGAGGGATATGTCTGCGCCTTGGCCTTTCTATGGTGGTTTTATTTTATTTTTTCAGGCTCTGGTCTTGCACTCATGGAAAGTTGCTCACTTGCTCTTAAAGGACCAAAAGCTAGTTGCAGCCTGGATACACGTGCCCAATTCCAGCAGAGTCCAATTTGAATTTATCTTGCCCCATGGTTCTCAACTTTTCAAAACCAATATGTTAAAACCAAAGCCATTTTTTAAGGGGGCATTTGTCCAAATGAGTCAATTTAACTCTATAAGGGACCATTCTTGCTATATCAAGGCATATACACTTTCTTGTTATCTAGGCTTTTATGGATCTTGAAGCTTCTCCTTGGTAAAATCAAAATTCGGCAGAGAAGAGCAAGCACACAATTTGGTTGTCTAATTGAGATGAAAAAATGAGAGCAATTATGGGGAAAAACCTTAAGATTCACTGTGTGCAATCTGGGGGAAAACTATGAAAATGATATGCAGATGTTAGCAAAATAAAATAAAATAAAAAATGTGTTGGAGATATAAACAAAGTGAAGGAACCTTATTCCGCGTATGGTGGACGTGTCCTCAAATAAATAAAATTTGAGACATGATCTACACTCATTTCCATTTGGCATTCTAATGAAAACATCCCAAATAATAATAAAGAGTGTTGTTTCAAAACTTCCTGATAAAATATGGTTCCAAGAATAATACTTGGTTGTGGTTAGATTAATTTCACAGCTATACGGGAAATCCAAGATTAATAAATAAATACAGAACAATTGCTACTTAAAGACAGTACTGAATCTGTAAGAGATACAGAAGTCATAGAAGAGATTCAAAATAGTTTTCTGGAACAGAAAGAAAGTGACTGCAAAGAGAGAAAGAAATAGTAAAAAAGTAATTTCTTTCTGGGAACTTCGTGTATAGAAAAAACAAATCACTATTTGTGTCCTTTGACTAATAAAAAAAATAAATTTTTGGTGACAAAATTAAAATGAATGAATGAATGAATGGGCGCACTGCAGAGTGCCAGGTGGGACAAGCAAATATGATCATCAGTTGACGTAATCTAAATATAGCCTGCTCTATCGGAAAGCATGTAATATAGGAGAATCCTCCATGAAAAAAACTTGGGGTGCAAGCCAAACCCTTCTGTTGTTCATACTTATGCACCCTACATTATACAGAAACAATTACACACAGAAATTTTGTCTCCCCTTTGTGCGGGTAACACACTATCAGACACATTTCAGCATTCCTACATAATAACACATAATACACAACAAACTAATTAAATATCAGATACATATCTTGAGACAATTCTTTTACGTATGTATCTCAAAAGTGAGAAAATGTCTTTGCAATTCAACTCCTCCCCCCTTTGTCAGCCCCACTCCCCCGTCAGTCTGTATCCTTTGAAAGAGATAGCTGTGGGCACTTTGTTGCAGGTCTTGTGATGGTGAAGAACTGAGTTGGGGGGTTGTTGCTGCTTTTTCATCATCGCACATCTGTAGAAGTGATATCCTGTAAGGGGGCAGGGTTTTGGGGGGCTTAAAGACAGTTAGAAAAAAGGAAGGAGCAAAAGCCCCCTCCCCAAGAAAATCTCCTTGAGTTATTAGCTGCAAATAATAAAATGTTAGCATGTTAAGCATTTTACTCATTTTAATATTATTATCACATTTTCATATAATTACTGTTATTATCTGCTAAGTTTGTTTGCTTTCCTTCACTTAGTTTTTGTTGTCCTCCCCATTTTATTACATTAAAATTACTCCACCTGTATAGAAAGAGAACTGTAAAAAATACAAGAAAGTTTAGAAAATAAAAAGAAAGCAAAAAATTAGATTACCACTCAGATGAAAACGAACTTGACACAAAGACATCAGATTCAGAAAAGAATTATTATTAAATAATACAAAGATATTATCAAAACCACAGATTACTACTGGACTACAAAAATGGGAAAACAATGGAAAAAGGCTTCAACTTCAGCATGTGCTATCTGATAAGTAGAACTTGATGAAAATGACTTTCAACATGTGATGGACATGTCCCCAAAGTAAAACACACACACACACACACACACACACACACACTCTTACCTATGAGGAACCAAAAATAATTAAATGCTAAGACACACAATTTTTTTTTTTTTTTAAACCTGAAGTAACCTGAAGTAATCTGTTTTGGCATTCTAACAACCCAATGAAAACTGATTAATAAATGAAAAACAGATTATTTGTAACCTAAAAAAGTGTCAAAGATAGAGGGAAATCAACTAATATAGCAGGGATTCAGACTTGTTTTGCTGAACAGAAAGAAAGTGACTGTTTGGCTTTAAGGGAAGAAAGACAAAAGAAATACAAATGCAATTACTTTTTATAGAGTATTTAAATCACTGTTTGCATCCCCTCATTATCATTTGTGCTGTGGGAGAAAAGAAGGGACAAACACTTTGTTAATGGGGTTCACATATCCTGTTAAAAGGGGAAATTATTTCATGTGAGAAGTCTGTCAGGAAATGCTGTTCCTAAAATGCATAGGCATATACACAAACAAACAAAAAAACTGTTATAAAATTTAAATCCCATTGGGGAGGCAAACTACTCAAGAGAGGAACTCACAGTGGGAATGCTTTGATATTTACCTGTGAAAAGAATTTAAGGGTGATTTCCCTCAATGGTTCCAAGTTTTACATAAGGAAACTTATGTAAATTTCCCTACAGCCCACACTCTCCAAACCTCCTCTCTCCCCCCTCCTTTCTCTCTCTCTCTCTCTCTCTCTCTCTCTTTGTAAGCTGATCTAGCCTCTGCATGTGCAGAGTTCATGTCTCAGCAAACCTTTTATACTATTGAAAATGTTGCATCTTTTGGCTAAATTAGAATTTGAATAAGGGAAGGGAAGGGTAAGGAGTAGATTTTAAAAATGGGGTTAGATTTTTTAATTATTTTTTTTAACAAAAAAGAGAAACTGAGTAATTCAAGTATTCAATCAAGTTAGCAATTGTAGCCCAAGCAAAGGACTGCTTCCTTTATGTACAGGAAAGGGCTACCATCCCTCTGGTCATTTGCGGAACAATGCCACGCCCTTATATATGGGGGGGAAATGGCCAGAGTCAGAATTCATAGGATTATTTTTTTTAAAACATTCTCAGTCGTTTCAACCTTACCATTTGCAGACAAAAAAAAATTCCTGCCCTTCTTTGAATTAACTTTGAAGTCTGATTTTTTATATATTTTTAAATAGTAGACAAATGATAAACACTGTAATCACTCAAATGTTTAATATTACCCGTTGTGCTTCAAAACATCACGGCTTCACCTCTCACCTTTTAAAACTAAAGAGCAAAGCTAGGCTGAATTTCAATTCCATCACCACACCAGAATTTAAGAATTACCCTCAAATGCTTGCAGACACATGTTCCTTCCACACAGCCACAAATTGGGAGAGTTGAAAGAGACCCTGGGGTTATCTAGTCCAACCCTCCAAAATATAGGGTTCACAGCAAGATTTCGCAGCAAGATTTGTACTATCAAAGAGACATACACATTTAAGTACAGATTTACAACTGGGAAAGGAAACATCTATGCTCCTATCATGTACTAAGGAAGAGGAAAATAAAAGTACCAGACTTTACACAGAACCCTTTTAGCAGATCTTGAAGCTAGGTTGAGTGAGAGTTTACTTCTTTAGACTAAAGAGTGCAAGTCTTTAAAGGGAGATTGAAGTGAACATTTTCTTAAGATAGGGAGAGGATCTATTATAAAGCATAGTTAAAACAGCCATAGATTTGATTTAAAAGGAATACAAAAGTGACAATTTTTCCTGAACTTGCAGAGGAGTAGTAAGCCTAATCTATGCCCCCCCTTTGCAGTTTCCTTTAAAGGAAGCTTACTCGGGAGTAAATTTACCTGGCACAGAATAAGAAGGAGAAGGGGGGAGGAAAAAAAAACCACCTGAAAGAGCCAGAATGAAACAAAAAGGGGGGG